AGCAGCAGCAGCAGCAGCTCAGGCTTGTTTTTCTTGGTTAAAGCTGTTAAATTCAACTAGAGTCTGCAATGAAGTGAGTCCTGAAATAACCTGGAGAAGTGAATGGAGCCAAGGCAAAAATGCTCAATAAAACCATGGGCTTTTTTTATTTTTATTTTTTTTATTTTTTGCTGGTCAAAACACTTCTTGATATTGTGTAGCTTCAATATTTGTCTGTGTTGACAGTAGACAGACTTCACCTCTGTGCTGTTGCTGGAGAAAATCGGATCTTATCACCCAAAATGGCAAACAGCTTCAAAGGTGTGATTTATTTTATTCTTTTTTTTTTGCTTGCAGCCAACGAATGCTGCTAAGGCATGGATAATCCAAGAGTTAAATTAAAAACCTGCTTCCAATATTGCAAGAAAATCTACACTGAATGTAGTTATTGTCATGCAAGAGGAGTTACCGATTTGTCAAACATCTCGTTTAGATTTAGTACATAAATTATAACGAAGAAATACGAAGGAGTAACATCTTTGTTTGCAGATGTTAAGAAATTGGTTCAGTGTCATTACTTTTCAGCATCTACCACGATTAAATGAAGGGTTTTATTTCAGATGGAGACTTTGACTTTACTCTGGTAAAAGACATCAGTTTTTCTTAAGTTTAATTTATTCACACAGTTATTATTAAATGCACTGTAATCTTAAATGTAGCAATCTTGCTGCTCCAATTTCAAGCCAGGAATTCATAAACATATTTCTCTCTTTAATGTTTTTGCTTTTTAACAAAACTTAAATGTTGCATTTTTATCAAATGAAGACAGACAAGATGAGGTAACTTAAGTACGCAGGAGCTCAAATGATAAGTTGATATATTAAATAAAAAACCTATCAGAGCATTGTAAAAATGTCACTGGTTCCATTGTTTAAATCATGATGTAACTGTGGAAGTATTCAGTGTGATTTTTGGTTAGGTTGCTGCTGCCTACTGCCTAACCTGTCGAGTCTAGAAATCACTTAAGCAGAACCAGACTGGCGAAAATACCAAAAAGAGGAAAAATATCATAATTTGAGCTAAAGAACTAAAAAAATAAAAAATAAACAGATATAAAACATATAGGGAAAAAAACACATATAAAACGAAAATAAAGGTTGCTGGGTGTCCTAGTTAAGTTCTGCACTAAAATCTATTAGAGATGTTGATGTCACATGATCCCACAATAATGCTTCAACAACCGCAATCCTGCAAAGAAGAGCGGGTCAAAATTCTTCCACAGCAACGTTAAGTTCTTATTTCCATATTTCACTGTAGTTATTGCACCCAAGCTTAGTTTGGTTTGCTCTTTTCCCTTAATAAATAAAAAAAAATCATCATTTTAAAACACCATTTTGGTGTTTGCCAGATATTTGTTTGTTTTTTATTTGTTTTGATGATCTAAAACATGTATCTGTGTCAACAAGGTAAAAACACTAGAAATTTGTTGGGGGGGCGGGGGGAATAGTTTTACATCTCAAAAAAAAAGTTTAATGAATTGCGGACACAACCCTTTCGAAGATATTGTCGTATTAATTATATGATTATGCCATTCTGGCCTAATGTGCGCCCTGCTTTATTATCTGCTTTATTACAAAGGGGAGTATTATTAACAGAGTGGGCATCATACTCTATTAAATAAAACACAGAAGAAGCTCTTTAAATTGCCTTGCTGGACATTTTAATAGAATTATCTTTGCAACCAAATGCATTAGGAAGAATCCACTTTTAGGATAATTTGGCATATGTGCATTTTATCTAACAGAATTGCATTTTACAGAACTTTAAAGTATGGTGAACTGCAGCCTGGTATTTAAGTCAGAGACTAATGAAATGCTCTCATAACATTCATGAAATGGCAACTTGTAGCCAGAGGAGCTTCGGCGGACACGTTTAACAGGTCCGATGTTCCATCCAGAAACGCTTTCAAAGATCACATTAATGGAAGAAATCCTTCCAGACAGTCTTCATCTGCTCTGGGAACAAAATGGATCCTGCAGGCAAAAAACTGGCAACACTAATCTCGTTTGCAAGTCAGAAAAAGCAGGCATTGCAGAATAATTTGCATGCTGAAAGACAGACATTTTTGCTACATGTAGGATGCATCTAAAAAAAGAAGCGTCCTGATTTTTTCCAAGTGGAAACGTCCTAATTTCTTCATTTAATGAGGAGTAAATTAGTTTGCCAAATTCACAGACAGCTTTCTTTCTTTCTTTTTTTTTTTTTAAATTTGTTTCGTTGTCTCCTTTGCCTGTCCACAGGGTTGTCCCAGCCTCGGCCCCCTGAGCACCGGCACCTGGAACTCTCCACCTCCTCCTCTTCCTCCTCCTCTTTGACCAGCAGCAGCTCAGCGTGGCGAGGCCAGGGACAATGGGACGCAAGCTGGACCTGTCGGGCCTAACAGACGACGAGGCAGAGCATGTGCTGAAAGTGGTTCAGCGTGACATGAAGCTGCGGAAGAAGGAGGAGGAGAGGCTGAGGTGAGATGACATTCTCCTGCCTGGGTTCTTTTTTTTTTTTTCTTTTCCACATTTGACACTCAGAGGATGATTTGACATGAGCTGATAGAGGAGAGATGTCAGCCATCTGTGAGTGAAAATGACCAGATAAAGTGACGATCAGCGGGCTTGTGTGGAAGTGTTTTTCCATTATAACAGTTTTAACGTTGGTAAAAGAAGCAATATCCTGCAAATAGAGCACTGGATCATTGGAGCTAGTATACCACTAAACCTTCTTAAAATGATACGGTTATGTGGTATAATCTTCTGCCTGGAAGTGCTTATCATAACATCCTTTATTGCATGTCATTTTAGAACCTTTTAAGGCATCCTACTTTATTTACTTGAATTACCAGATGTACACAATTATCGTTTTATTGCAATGAGACCACGACATTTGAAGAAAATATGGGAGTAAACCCTCAAACAAATGGGTCAGCTATGCTTCTGCTCACGTTTCCACGGTGTGAGCGTCTGCCTCCGAAGACCATTTCTATTACAAGAGATTTCAACTGTTGTCCTAGTTTTTTGTTGTTTTGTTTTTCTGAACCTTATCTGTGTTCATTCGGTGTTATCTTCAACTGGCCTCCCTCATTTTATGTTTTCTCACTGCTGATTCAGAGTGCGTATGCAGATGCGTTCTTGTGTAACCGCCGTCCTCAGTACTTCTGCTCCCGGTTTGTTTATTCCCTGCCTACATCTCACCTCACGAGGTTGCTACGTGCTGATGCCCTTGTGTTCTCTGTTGCAATTCTTTCCGTCTTTCAACATCAACTGCATGATCGTACCTTTGTCCTGCCTGCGTTTGTGTCCTCCATGAGAAGGAGCCAAAGCCTGTTGCAGATGTAATATGTCATTACAATTATTACGGCCTTCCTTCTAAAATCTGAGTGGAAGTGTATCTGGAACATGTCGGGGTTGGGCAGGACGGTAGTACTGTATCCTCCATGCAGATTAAAGAAACTCCAGTCTCTTTAGCTCATCTCTTTCACCTCAATTAAAATACTTTGCTCTGTAGGAGTGGTATAATTAAAACTTTACTGGTCTTGAAATGCTACCTGTTCAAATTGGAAGTATAACTGGCATGCATGAATACACTTTTTTCAGTGATCACAATCAAAACGAGACACCTGGGGGCCCCCAGGATATGGTTTCAAAAGTTCTTTTGCTTTGATTATCTTTACTCTGTCTACAGTTTCAGCAATAATTATAATAACCTCTCTGCAACTTGAGAAAGCTTTGAAAAAGTCACCAACAGCTTTATTTAATTGGCTATTTCTTTTCTCTTTTCTCAACAATCTTTTATCCATATCTCAAAGCCTCTGGCCATATAACACAACGGAGACCTTACTGATTCACACATAACCTGCCACATGTTGTGGTCCGTGTCGTTCCCCTCTCCTCCTGTCCTTTAGTGTCTGCTTACTAAACTGGTTTTGTTTTACCACCGTGTGGATATTGCCAAAAAAAAAAAAAAATAAAAATCTAGACTCTGGGTAATTTATGTTGTGCAGCTTCATTGCATCTGGTATCCCAACAAAATATGTTTTTATCAGCTTTTTTATACGTGGCCATAACGTATAATTTTGGAGGCACAAATATTCCCTGACTTGGCCTAAACTCTGAGCTATTTTGTTATGGAGACGTAACAAGTCAGTGGTTTACTGTTCCTGAGTGGATGCCACAAGTGATTAGACTGCTTCGATTGGAGCACTAAACATCTCGGCTAAACTCCTGAGGAGCATAACAAAGTTACATCACAGAGCAGAATCCGAGCATCAGTATGCGGAGCATGCACGAAACACGTCTTATTTTCCCAGAAACGGTTTCAAAGCGAAGATGGTGTATTCCCAAATTACTAGGCTGTAAAATGTTTCCCCCACCAAGCTGTCATGAATGATCAGAAATAATTTATGTCGCTCAGGCTGTTATTACCGCTTTTTTTTTTTTTTTTTTTTTTGAAAGAAGATGAGCTGGAAAGCGGTGATTTATATGGCAGCGGTTGTTTATAAAAGCCATCAGCATTTGAATCCATGTTGTTTTTGTTCTCCTTTCCGAAGCAGCTTTTTCCTAATGGATATTAGATTCAAATTGACAGATTGCTTCAGTTCCGCTGCTGGGCTTGACTGTGTGTTACTCAATCACTGATATGACAGACTCAGCCCCATAATAGGTAAAAGTGCTGCTTTAAGGCGTAAAGAAAAATTACATTGCTGTTTGCTACTACATTAAATATCAATAATAATGTTGCTCTTCGTGATTCATATCGTTGCGTTTCTTCTTCGTGGCACACGTAAAATCAAGAAAACGATGAGTTTCTATCATTCATTGCTCTTGTGTGCATATGTTTTTAGCAGTTTTTCATCCTTATAAGATCCCAGTCCAACATTACATTAAAGTTATAAAAATCTGTGAAAAGAAATGTTTACATAAATTGTTTTCAACTGCTTAATAAGCCCTGTACTTTAAATTACACAAGTTTTAATAAACATGCAAAGTAAAAGTGTCCATAAACCATTAGTGTTATCAGTAAAAAAATGAAAAAAATAATTGGTAACTCTCCCCATTTGAAAACTTATTATCTACATTCCTAACTCTTATGCATGCAGCATACCTACCCCGTTATTTTAAATTCAAGACAGATTTGGCTTTGTTTTATTTTCTTTATTTCAGTGAGTTATACAGAGCTGTTCCTGGTAGAAATTCAACGCATGTTTTATGACTTAGCTTATGTTTTAATACTTTATATGCCTTGTTTCAATTCATCTCTGCACTGTATAATTCATTACTTAGTTAAAATATCAGCATATGAAATGTCATGAATATGCAAAGAAAAGGACAAAGATAGCTGTTTGGCTATTTTAGGGGAGTTTGTGCAGTTTTTGTTATGTGGCTGAATGAGGACAACCACATTTTGAGGTCTCTGTACTTTTGTACTTTAGTTTGTAAAATTAATTATGTTTTGCATATACTTAGTGTAGATGAATAACGATAATACAAAAAAAAAAAAAACAACCCCTCCAAACCAATCTAGTTTATGGTTGTCTTTCTATGAACTGAGAAGAGAACTGATTTTGCTTTCTGCAGGTTTTTGTCCATGCTTGGCAAATCAATTTGTTCTTCGGCTGATGAGATATCTGATACTGTTTTCTGTTGAGTTTACTTAAGAACAAAGTGCCTCAAACAAATTGAATTATATGAACTGTCTGTATTTGTTCTTTTGTTCATCCGTCTGTCTCTGTGCCCGTATGTTCTCAAGGATGCAGCATTTCAATGAAAGCTTTGTGGAAAAAAGAAGAAACGTCTTTTCATTTGATAACATTCACTTGTCTAACTCCAACACTTCCTTGTATCTCCCCCCCCCACCCCCTTAGCTTGTGGTGACAGATCCCAGTGCAGTATTTTTTATTTTTGATTGCTAAATAATTGCTTCAGTGTAGTATCTTAAGCTGACGCTGTGCCTGGCATGTTTATGTGCCGTTTCCATGTTTTCATGTTATGGCTAACATGTCAAAGATCGTAGAAATTTGGCTTCTAAAAGTAGTTTTAATCTCCTGTTTTTTTGTTGCTGTTAAGAAACGGCATAAACATGAATTGGAACCCATTTATAGACGAGCTACATTTAGCTAATTAGTGTAATTCTTTTTTTTTTTTTTCCATAAATGGTTTCTCCATATGCTCTTATTCAACTCTCCTTCTGAGTGTGGGGATTGAAAACTGAGCAATGCTTTGTGGCTGAATCCACAGTCGCTCCCACTTTATTAGTGTGGATTAAGTCCAGGCTCAGGAATGCAGTTTTGCCTTTTCCAGACAAGAATTTAAAGAGAAAAAATGTTTCTTGGCTAAATGACAACTCACTTTGTTCTTATGAATGCTTTTGTACATTTATCCATATATGTGCATTTAGTTAATAACTACGGCTTATCAACATTAACGCGTTAATGCCTATGACTAATCTAAAAATTTTATTTGATATTATTACATAATGCAGATTAATCAGGCATTAGAAAGGAGTGGGGAACCCAAGAACTGGAAAATAAAATGTCTCTGTCCCCTGAACACATCTGCTACCACCTGCATGCATGTGTAGTTCCTTGGACAATCTATTGTCCAAGGAAATTTGTTGTCATGGCTGCACAACTGGATGTATTTATTCCAAGTAAGAAACATTAAACGGAGTATTTTGCTGCTATGTTTCTAGTTGGCGAGACGGTCAACAATGCCGCCTTCCAGCAGGAAGATTTATTGTTTACACCGTGGTGATACAAAGGTCTGTGTTGAATTTGCCAAGTTTGCAACAACGGGGGAAAATTGTGGAGTGTTTTACGAGCCAGGGTGAAATTGGAGTGTCACAGGGTTAGGGATGAAGAAAAGAAAAAGCTTTCCAGGACAAATAAGCTGTTAAATGCAGCGCTGTACTATATCAGCATGGAAAAACTGAACGGAGTGACTTTACATTTTGTTCACAATGAGGCTGATATGAATAACAGTGAGTGTGCTGTTCAAAACCCCACCTGGAGTTTTATTCAGATAATTTGCCATATTCACTGACTTTTTCCCCCACTTCCAGCCCAAGCTATGTGCATTTTTGTACAAGGAGAGATTGAATATTTCCGGGATCTAGCAGCTTTTCTCTCTTCTCCCGTTTTCCACCCCGTTCATTTACTGTGGCTTAGCACGACGTGGGAGACAGGCAGGTACACGCCGCAGGAATCGCCCTGGGAGGTCAGGGGCATTTTGCGAGCGGCAGCAGAGGATGTCACTTTGTCAGGGACAGAGTGACCTCTATTCCCGTCTGTGTTTATTCTTCCTCTGCAGATGACTCAAGCACAGACACACAGCTTTTTAGATAAGTGGACAGCTTCCAGAATTGTATTCATTTCGAGCCAAGATAAGAGACAAACTGCTCGGTATTCATATGAATCAGTGAAAAGGGTGTAAGTGAAATGTGGAGCCCGAGCGGTGAAAGGATATTAACGTTC